TTTTTTTTTTTGCAGTATGACTTTCTTTCTTCTGGGAAACACAAAAGGAGGTATTTTGAGAAATGTTTCTGTTTTGTTGACACCGAAACTATTTGGTTACCAAATATTTTCTTTTATGGTTCCAGAGCAGAAAGAAAGTCATACAGGTTTGAACAACACGAGATTAAATAAATGATGACAGAATGATCATTTCGGGTAACCTATCCTTTTCAGATTAATTTTTACAAAACATGACCTAAACTTTTATGTTATTATTTTCTGAAAGATTTTGGATGTATTTTTGGTGGATGACGTTAAAGTGAAACGTTTTCTTTACTGTTCCTTACATAAATGTGACGTAGAAACTGTAGCATAGCAACAACAAATATACTCAGATAAAACAAACGGCGGCTCCTCCCTGCTCATGACATACACATGAAGTCAACACTGAGCACACCCTGCTCTTTCTTAACGTTATTTCAGGAACTCGTAGGTCTAAAGAAAGAGCGGCCACTCTACATTCCAGCCATGTTTCCATTCCTGCTCATTCCATCTGTTTACCAAGGCTTCTGTCGCTGATACAGTGAGATATAAGGAACGCCTCATTGTTCCGGTGAGTTTGAGATGCTGTTAGACGGCTGAACAGGTAGAGAAGGGTCTGAGATCCCAGATTGCTCCTCTGCAGGGGTGTGAATGAAGCGTTTCCAGCATTCACTGACTCACACGCTGGAGCTCCGCCAGTGGAGGTGGAACAGGCCGTTTACATGAAGTGATGAGCATCAACAACACAACACCATTCAACCGTAGCAATGAGATATAATGCACACATGCTTTCGGTTTAATCACAATAACACTTTTGTAGATTTTAGTCTTTGTCTTTAAGCTCTATACACACACCACTAAGGTTTGGGGTTGGTAAGATTTTATGTTTTTGAAAGAAGTCTCTTCTGTTCACCAGGGCTGCATTTATTTGATCAAAAATACAGTGAAAAATTATGAAATGTTATTACAATTTAAAATAACTGTTTCTATGTGAATATCTGTTCAACTGTAATTTATTCCTGCGATCAAAGCTGTATTTTCAGCATCATTACTCCAGTCTTCAGTGTCACATGATCTTCAGAAATCATTCTAATATGCTGATTTGCTGCTCAAGAAACATTTCTGATTATTATCAATGTTGAAAACAGTTGTGCTGCTTCATATTTTTCTGAAAACTGTGATACATTTTCTTTTTCAGGATTCTTTGATGAATAGCATTTATTTGAGCAATTTAATGTATTCTTGATGAATAAAAGCATTAATTTCTTTAAAAAAAAAAACTTACTGACCCTAAAACTTTTAATTGCAGTATTTATTTATTTATTTATGATCTATATACCACGAGCTGTATTGTTATGTGTATTTAAATGTGCTACACTGCAAAAATCTCACTTAGCATTTTTGTCTTGTTTTCCAGTAAAAATATCTAAACATTCTTAAATCAAGATACATTTACTGGAGAAGCAAAATAATAATAATAATAATTCCTTACATTTATATAGCACTTTTCTGGGCACTCAAAGCGCTTTACATAGAAGGGGAAAAAGTCTTAAGTCCTGTAAGTCTAAATGAATCAAAATTAAGGGAGTTTTTTGTTTTTCAAAAAATGTTTTAAAAAAATTGCCGGGAGGCAAGAAAAATAATATTGTTTTCCCTTTGAATTAATATGATTTTTCTTATACCACTGGCAGATGTTTTATCTTGATGTAAGCAAAAATTAACAACTTTTTTTTTTTAATTTGGAAAACAAGACTTAGTATCTCAAGTCATTTTGCAACTCCAGTAAATGTATATCTTGTACTGAAAAACAGGATTAAAATAAGTAAGCAAATCATTTTTTGCAGTATTATATATACAGTGGGTACGGAAAGTATTCAGACCCCCTTAAATTTTTCACTCTTTGTTATATTGCAGCCATTTGCTAAAATCATTTAAGGTAATTTTTTTCCCTCATTAATGTACACACAGCACCCCATATTGACAGAAAAACACAGAATTGTTGACATTTTTGCAAATTTATTAAAAAAGAAAAACTGAAATATAACATGGTCCTAAGTATTCAGACCCTCTGCTCAGTATTTAGTAGAAGCACCCTTTTGATCTAATACAGCCATGAGTCTTTTTGGAAAAGATGCAACAAGTTTTTCACACCTGGAATTGGGGATCCTCTGCCATTCCTCCTTGCAGATCCTCTCCAGTTCTGTCAGGTTGGATGGTAAACGTTGGTGGACAGCCATTTTTAGGTCTCTCCAGAGATGCTCAACTGGGTTTAAGTCAGGGCTCTGGCTGGGCCATTCAAGAACAGTCACAGAGTTGTTGTGAAGCCACTCCTTCGTTATTTTAGCTGTGTGCTTAGGGTCATTGTCTTGTTGGAAGGTAAACCTTAGTTCCAGTCTGAGGTCCTGAGCACTCTGGAGAAGGTTTTAGTCCAGGATATCCCTGTACTTGGCCGCATTCATCTTTCCCTCGATTGCAACCAGTCGTCCTGTCCCTGCAGCTGAAAAACACCCCCACAGCATGATGCTGCCACCACCATGCTTCACTGTTGGGACTGTATTGGACAGGTGCCTGGTTTTCTCCACACATACCGCTTAGAATTAAGGCCAA